GGAAGTGCGCGGCAAAGGCGCTAGGCCTTGCAATTGTGTGCTGCCGTGCTGCGAGAATTTCCGGCAGCACAGATGGGATGTGGTGCGTGGCTGGCCTAACGTGTGAGATCAGCTGAGTTGATTGCCGTATCAACCGATGGAACGGCTGGCATATCCAGAAAACTCGTTTGGACGTGACTCTCCCCCGAGCAAATCTCCTTCACTGCTAGAAGGAAATGGGTTTCTATTTAGGTGTTGTCGACAGTTTTTTTCGTTTTTTCTTCACTATCGTTCCACCTCCCATCTCTAAACTCAATATCAGGTGCCATAATGCCGAAACACGAGCCTGACTTTTGCCTTTAAGTGAAATGAACGCTGGAAAAGATCGCTTCTCACTGCTTTTTTTTCAGTTCGCAGGATTGCTGGTGTCTGGGCTTGCCCTTTGACCCCATTTTTTGTGCCTCTCTTGCTCTCTCCTCCGTGCTCAGTCCCCACCGTCTCACCACAAAGCGTGGCAAACTCTTCGCTTTGCGTTTGCGACAGAACCTTTTCCTTTTTTCATTACTTGCCGCTTACTTCCCACTAATGCCTTCAAATGCATCTATCTCAAAATAAATAAATAAATGCATCTATGATACAGTATCAGTCATAAGTGTGCACCGAAACGTTTTTTGTGTATTCATCTCTTTCTCGCTCAAACGTGCCTTCGATTTGGCAAGAACATGCCTTCAACCTTGCGAAAGCCTTGACTATGAAAAGATCAGTTATTATGAAAGATATCTTCTTCTAAATCTTTCAGATCTCTTCTGGGGGAAGAAATGAAATGCCGCGAAAAAACGACTTGCGACAACTGTTTGACCGGCTACTGTAGGATACTAAAGTGGTTGAGGGATGGTGGGGAAGGGGAGGGGGGGGGGGTGCGCAGTGGTAGGGTAGGCCAGGGTGAAGTCAGAGTAATCGGTAAAATAGCGCCAAACGGCACCCCTCGTTTGGCCGTTGATTTTCGCTCATAGACGGTACGAGGGCGGACGCATGAACGAGTGGAGAGAAGAGACCTTTTGTTCTCAAAGTAAGCTCCTTTGGTAGACTCGATTAGAGTTTCTCTTCTGTAGAACAGTCCACACTATACGGTGGTACGTCAATGATGGTGAAAAGCAGACCCAACTCCCCTGCTTATCAGTAACGTCACAGCTGGAAAGGAAACCATTCATTTAAAATACCTTATTTCTCAAATGGCTTACCCTTTTTCTTATAGCAAGACATCTTCTGATCCACTAATAGTCCTGAACGAACCACCGATCAGTTCTTCAAATCTTCGCGAAAAGTCGAATTTGTTTCACATACTTCTAGTCTACAAGACCATGGGGTCATGCAGATATTCCAGCGTGATCTACTCTATCCGTCGCGTCCGCAGTGCAGCCATATGTAGAATGGCTGGTTGCACTCCATTTTTCAACGGATAGACGCTCGGAAAATTCGAACCTGTGACGCCTTGTGTAGTGCACTGGAGCACTACCACTGCGCCATGGCTTCCCCATGTACTGACTTGCACCACATGTGGTTGTTGAGCGAATGGAAGAATAGAAGCCGGGGAAAAATAATGTCGTACTCAATGGAAACAGTAGGATATGCGCTTGAATAATATAAAAAGAGAATATTCTAAGGGCCAAATTCAAAAAGGGCCAATCGAGATGCACGATACAAACGTTTTCCGAAGTGTGATTCAATATTCTAGAGTCCCAAGTCCTTGAAGGATATCAGCACACTTCTATCGCACTTCATAAAGTGTCAAGAGACAAGCAAGTGAAAAAACCTTGAAGAACGGCTTTATTTTTTTTTTCAATTGATGAGCTCGTCAAGACCGAATAAGCCTTTAAAACTCGATTTCAATTGTAATTAATGCCCAATCAGAGAGAAACTAGCAACAGCACTATGGGACATACTAAGAAGACTGATAATCATCCACATTACAGACTACAGGCTTTCCAAGCGAGCATCTTCCGTACTGGGAGCACCGGATGCGCCATGTACTCCACTTAAGTTCAGAAACGCAGCGTGGCTCAACTGCTTTTTGCTTTGCCCAACGGCAATCACGGAGTTGATGGAGCCTTCTCCATCACGAGTGTAGGACCAATGTTAGGTCAGGACCAACTCTCGAATAGATGGAAAGGTCGACATGAGCCTAGTTTCACCGCTTGCTTTTGCTTTCATTCGCAGGCCCTTGTTTCATCCTCTGCGAAAATCTTTGAAGTAAATATAAATCATACAAAACTTTATTATTCTGATCAAATATGCACAGAGAAAACATAAATCAGAAACTAATCGCTATACTCGTTTATAAACTGAATCACAGCGATCACAGGCGATAACCGTGTTATGACTGGCGGTGCGTGTCATAGTCGTCAACTTATCACCACAAAGCAACTCAGTGCACTTACTTTGGTAACTTATCGATTATGCTCAATTATATTGCTATGCTCGCAATTATTTATATCACCAAGCAAACCTACTGTTAACAGAGTGCTCATAGATCATCTACCCTGTTAAGACTAGTTACCCAAAAAAGATATTTGGAGAAATACTGAAGTATAAGTGAAGAACTAGGCAGTGCGCATGACTTTCAAATAAGGATCATAGCAGCCGCCCAGGCTACGACGGCATTTTCGCATCGTGGAGGAATGTAATAAAGATGGACACTGACAACTAGATCGAATCTCATTGGCAAAGGCATTTAGTCCGACGATGAACCGTGGCTCATTCTGATGTGATTACGAGCCTTGCCTTGCGAAGTTCCTTTGGGGCTATCTTCAACTTCTAAGAAAATGCTGGGCGTCATAATCAGGGAACCAAACTTCCACAACATTTGTCTGTTCAGCTGGCAAACAAATGGGCGCGTGCTCGTAGAAACTTAGCCATTTTGGGCCAACGGGTAACTCATCCACACTCCTCATCCACGACCACGTCCAGCAGATCGGGTACATACGGAGGAAGACCAGAATCGCTTTCACATGAATCACGGCTACGACTCAATTCCGCAGCTGAAGAGCATGCTACCTGAAAGTGCACAAGAGCTTAACCTTGTTTTAAAGTACAAACTCTAGTAATCAGAAAGGAGACGGATCATGAAATTACAGCGTGGCAACTATGTATGCCGCTATTTGCAGGTAACGTTGGGCATTGCGGCAGCTATGCATGTCAAACCCATTACATTGACTTATTTTCGTGCACGGCCGATTCTTCTCAATTTTTAGATTTAGTCTATAATCAAGAAAGAAAAAGCCTTTATAAAAGAAATAATTAAACTGGTTCGTTTCGATCCTTTCTCAGGCAAACCTTATATTACCCTAAAATCCCATAGATAAGAGCGGTTTAATTTACCGGTGAAAAATGAATTGGAATGAAATTGAAATTGAATGCAGTCACCCCTCTAACTTGATGGATGGATAAATAAAAATCGGAGAAGAAGTTTAGAAGAAGCTCCGTCCCTCAACTCTAAACCCCGCCCACTTAATAAACAATTCATATAGAAAAATAGCGATTTTAACGGAATTTCTGCCGGAATCTCTCTAGAAATGCCGGAATTTGATCTCTGGATAGAACTTGAAGAGCCCATTCGATCAGTAAAATTCCATAGATAAGAGCGGTTTAATTTACCGGTAAAAAATGATTTTGAAAAAATATTTTTATTTTTATTTTATTTTTGAAAAAATATCTATGGACCGCTCTTATCTATGGGATTTTAGGGTACGTCAATCCCCGGAGCTCATCAGTGAGTTGGGATTGGCGAAATAAAGACACAGGGGAAAGACGAATAAACCTTGAGCTGACGTACAAATTTGTCATGCAGAGGAGCATGCAATGAAATTAATTGTATATTGACTAAAGTGAATATAAATTGATAACAATATGCAAAAACTTTTATAAAATTAAAAAGGTGGAAATGTTTGTAGCTGTCCACTGAACTAGACAACTCTTGATTGAGTATTCCTAGTAGTATTAAGCCAGACCATAATATAATCATAAACGACGTGGCTCACAGCATGGTCAAATATGCTTCAGTTTGACAGAGGTATACTAGGCCTTACAAAAATGCATCTCCAGTTCAATCCTCGTTTTCTTTTTATTAAAGGAATCTTCCACGGACCATGGACCAGTGGGCGGGACCGGAAGTTTTTGTGACGAAATGCATGGTAGGTACGGATCCACGTGTCGAACGCACGAACGTGAACAGGATTCACTTCAAACCTTCCCATGAACGTGGATCCGTACCTACCATGCATTTCGTCGCAAAACCACTTCCGGTCCCGCCCACTGGTCCATGGTCCGTGAATAATTTCGAAACCATTACAGCAAAATAAGTTAAATTTATCTCCCACTGCCATAACCAAGCTAATTGGTCAAACTTCTAATAGTGTAACTTTCGATAACACATTGAAAATTATTCAAAAAAAAGTTGCATCCGAGTTTTGGTATTTACAAGCTCAAAATCCACAGATTTGATGTGAGGCGGCGGCGCTCGCAAAATCGCCCGGTCCCACGCGGCCAAAAAAGCCAAAACGCGCGATGTCGTCAACGTGTTAATCGCTCCTTTTCGTCCTATTATTGTAATGTTTGTTTTGACCACGGAAAATGGCTATCCCACTTCTTTACGCCCTGTTTTTATCGTGACCAATAGAAGCTATCATCAGGAAGATTAAACAAAAGTGAGTGATATTGGAAAAGCGAACTTCAGAAAAACCCTACCGAATCCTTGCTCAAAGGCATCGAATGAGGATTATCATACAGTGACCAGTCAATGGATCGAAAAAAAGCGTGCGCTCGAACAGTTTCCAAAGATGGGCGTGAATCGATATCAGCGAGAAGTCTGCAAATATAAACCTCCATACATGACGTATGATAAAGAATATGATTTCATAAAAAGGAAGCGCACATAAAAACATCTGCGACCGCGAAACGCTTCGCGACAATGTAGCCAAGTAAATACTCACTGTGACAGCAGATCCCTTGCTTCAAATGAAACTTTTATATCGTCTGGGAACGGAAGCTCTTCGCATCTAAAATATCTAATTAACTCTGGGTGAAACGTTAAAGGCAAGGGTTTGCCACAAAAGTAGTGCAAGTGTGAGTTCTTAACATGAAATGCCAATGAATAATCTAAGGGCAGATAGATTCGTTTTCTCAAAAAATACTGACTAGTTCAGGTTGCAAAAACCCGTTGTGAGAAATTGTATAATATTTGAAGATTACCATCGATCGGAAAGCTGAAGCACGATGTGGTTTTAGCCACTTTCATGTTTTTCACTAACTACTATGGTCATTATTCACTTATTTGATCGCAGCTCATCAGGATAAATTCACATGATGACTGGCGTTGGTAGTGGCAAAAACGGGAACAAGATGGGGCAATCTATCATTGCAGAATCGAGTGAGAATGGAATTGGGGTAAGGGGAGGGTGGGAGCAAGCCCCAACAGTGCCCTTCCTCTTCAATGCTTAAAACACTTTGAGAAAGGCCTGGTGAATTGGTGCGAGGAAACAATCCTGAGTCAGGTTATAGACATTTCTGCCTAAACTGAAGGAAAAGTGTTGTGAGGGAGGAGCTCCGGGTGTACTTTAAACTAGTCCTTGCATCAGCGCTCCTATCACTGGCCTGATTGTGTACAAAAATTGAATAGGGCCTGGAAAGGATGAGTAAATTTAGGATGCTATGCGATTCTTTTAGTACACCTACTTCATATTTCACCCAATCTATTTTTAAGAATGGATGAAAGTAATGTATTTCGAATTTCAAGTTCAGCACTTCTTCTTAACTGACAAATAATCATCATATGTAATTTTGAATTCATCTTGCTAAAATGAGATCGTAGGAGACATGTGTTGTTCAATGGATCTATGCTGCTCCAACATATTGAATGCATGACTTATCTGACAGACCACGGAAATAGGTTCAACTTTGCTCACCTCGTTACTCCATGTGGGGCAGCGTTTATAAGTGCACGACCGCTTAGCAACTCAAACGCTATTGCTGCGAGGGACCACAGATCGTTGGCTGCGCATGGAATCCATCCATATTCGAAACATTCTTGAACAAAAATAGTTGAAAAAATGACTTAAAGATCCCACACAACACCTTTATATCGCGTCCCTAAGAGAGCGCTCTATCCGTAATAAACTCACCTGGAGCACTATAGCCTTCTACAATGTCTTTCGGTTTACCGTTATTATGCCATTTACCATAGTACGTCATCTGCAGGTTACCATCCATGTCAATCAGCAAATTGTCAGGACGCAGATCACTAAAAATGCAACTCTCCTCAAACAAATGAAATCACGAGAAACCACGACATGAATTAGAACATTTTGACTCTACAAAACCCAGTCATATTCGGTTAACACCCTGCTATTCATTACAATCAAATTTCACAA